AAAGAGAAGGAGGAGCTAAACCTGGAGATCCAGAAGAACCGCCTCCTGCAGCAGGAAAACCTCCAGCTGAAAACAGATGTGGACAGGTGATGTGTTTTCACACACAGACTGTATAGCAAAGATGGACAATCATGACATCACGCGTTAGGTTTTGATGTTCTGAAGCCTCTGTGTTAGCGTTTTCTCCTCCATGTTGGTTCCAGAAGTGACCATGTTTGGATGAGAGGGCGGAGCTACCAGCTGATGCTGCTCATCAGAGCTCAGTAACAGCCAATGAAAACCCTCGACAGCAGCCAATGAGCACAGACTTTAAACTGTTCACCTTCTGCTTCCATCTTCAGACTCTCCGAGAGCCAATCACAGCAGGCGGAGCAGAGCAAGGGGCTCCAGCAGCGACACAACGAACTCAAGAGCTCTTTAGGCTCCGCCCAGCTGGAAGTGAGTCAGTGGATGGCGCGATACGATTCGCTGATGGAGCAGCACCAGACGCTGGATCTCACCATGACCAAACTAGACAACCACTGTGAGGTAAGCGCACGTTTTTCTGAAACGGCTGATTGACTGGCTGGTGGTTGGTGCCTGCTCCGTGTGTGCGCCCAGCTCCTGAGTCGCCTCAAAGGGAACCTGGAGGAGGAGAACCACCACCTGCTGAGCCAGATCAACCTGCTGAGTCAGCAGAACCACGCGCTGCTGGAGAGGAGCATGGAGAGCAAGGAGCTGTACCACCAGGAGCAGAAGCTCTACATGTGAGTGCTCGTCAGCCGCCGCGAGGTTCAGGTGACGCCCTGCAGGACGAGCTGATTGCTGACGAACGCGGTTCATCCTCAGCTGTCAGTCGGTGCAGTCCTCACATCTGTGTTTAGCTTTTACGTGACTGCAGGCGCACACCTGCAGGCGCACACCTGCAGGCGCACACCTGCAGGCGCACACCTGCAGGCGCACACCTGCCATCTCATCAGCAGGTTGGAGCATCTAAATCAGGGGTGTCAAACGTACGGCCCGTCTCATCTGGCGGTTAGATCATTTCATGTCAGTTATTGATGGCCGTCAGTGTGGGGGAGTTGAATCGTCAGCCCTGCTGAGAATCCTCGCAGGGAGGGGTGGGACATTATTTTGACGGGCACACCATGCGGCAAATCACATGCAAAGACAGATTGGGATCATACCATTATGTGAAGGAAGGGTAGTGGTACGGGCCAGGTACACAGACACAAGCGTGTCGGGGAACACGAAGAAAGAGTGAAAACGTAAAATGAGCGGTTGTCTGTGTTTGAGTGGAAAGCTGAGGACAGAAATCATGAGGATTGTCCTGAAATCTCACGTGTTCTCGCTGGTAGCAAGAAATCCATAAAATAAGATAAAAATCAGCTCCTTGAAAA